AACATGTGACGAACGTGGCTCGCGCCAGATCCAGCTATCTCCTATTGTCTCCTATCTCTCTCTCTCATAATGCGACCTGCCGCGGTGCGAACACCTTGCAACATAGGCGCGTTGTTAGGAGGACGCGAGGATGTTGCGAGGTTCACCATTCCTTAACATCGACAGGCGCGAGGTGTGATAGTGCACGAAATGGAGGACCTGTTGTGAGACCATATGTTCGAACACGCCATGCTCGTGACATTCTACATAGGCAGTTATATCACGGTCTACGCATTAATGATGCGCATTTTATCAGCTGAAAGAACGGAAAGTATTGGCTATTTTTAAGGTTTCAACCTACTTTTTTTGCGTTTCTTCAACGCTGTTTTGCTTAATTGCAAGTTCCCAAGAACATACAATTGTATCTAAGGTCCTAATCAAATTTTGTTTTTTAACCCGAATTTTTATTGAAATTGTCTCCGAATCAATAGGACTTTATTGTCTCGGCTAATAATTGCCTATTTGCTTTTGCAATTTAGTCTTGGCTAAATCCATTTAAAGATGAATTGCAGCAATTGATATATTTTCTCTGGTTCTAAGCGTTTGATTCTCCACGTTTAAACGCGTGCGGCAAAACGATTATATTATATGATGCAACTTCACTGTGAAAGGAAGAATCATTATAGGATAGGCCGCTTTAGATGAAACAAATCAAAATAACGCAGCCTTTCTATTATTTTCAGCTAAACAGATAATTCTCGCAACTCTCCATAACAATATTAAGAATGAAGCCGTTCTTCCTTTCACAATGAAGTTACATTTTTGTGGGTACAAGTACTCTCAAGAAAGTTCTAGCGAATGGATTCTATTATATGTTCAAGTTTCTCTATGAGAGGTAGAATGGCAGATTAAGACAATGGAATGGGAAAGATGTAAGTTGGTGTAGAGTAAGAATGAGATCAAGATAAGGAGTTGGAACCTCAGATGAATTGTCTTAATTTACAGGAAAAGTAAATGTTCGGTTAAGCCAAGCCATTAAGAAAAGGACAAATCTTTTACTACTTCTCTACCACTTCGCAGCCCTTGTTTCATTCAGTGTGGCTCTAAAAGTTCACTTTTGCAGAAACAATTGTTTTCATATTTGCGCTGTAACATTTGTCGTACTAATAGTATGGTTATAAGGTTGATATTAATATAACATAAGTTCAATAACTTAAACCTGCAGAAAAACTTCAAGCCACGTTTACTAGCTCATGCCATATTTGGAGTTGTCATGCATGCTTCATTCTTGTTGTGACAAATTTGAAGGGGTTACTGGCATCCAAGGCGTATGAGTGCCCTTCAGATAATGAGCAAACCGGATGTCCTTTACTAGCTCCATAACTTCGAAGGGCTGAATTTGAAACGTTACTAGCTGCAAGAGATCGTGGATTGAAAAGCTGTAACATAAAATTGTGCCATTTACGGCTGTTCAGAAACAAAAATGTGCCAATCTATATTTAAGGCACAATGTTAGCGTAGACATTCCTAAAAGGAGAATTAGATGCGGCTTTAATGGATCATCCTTTTAAATGTAGAAATATCAACTAACAGGCAATTGTAAAGTCAGTCATTTCGAAGAGGTGCGGTTTCTAGACGAGTCAAGCTGTGTTGATGTTTTCTTCCGTCTTCTTACCTTATTTCACGAACCTCATCCTCAAAAAACCTCAACCTCTACACATCCTTTTCCTACTTTCTTTCATATTTACAAATTTTAGAGTTCCAATCAGTGAATGAATGTAGCATTATACCCACAACAGCAAATCTGTAATGCTAGTGTATTTCAAAGCTCGTAAAGTCGAAGCGATAAGTAAGGCACGCCTAAGTAGCGATTGGAAGAAAAAGTGAATATGAAGTCATAAATCAGCTCCTTGTTGTCAGGAAATTAATTTTACCTGTTCCATCATAAAGTTCAACAGCTAAACACGAATAAAAGACCTGCAGCAAAGGGGGCCAAAATCTTAACATAATTACAAGCATAACATTATAATTAACCTTGTTCGGACCGCTACCGCATATACCATATACCCGAAAGGCATAAACAAATGGAGGGGAAGTGAGCACGGCTTGCTTACAACCTACTCCATCACTATTGTTCGACTTAATCATTTTTATTCACTTAAGTTATCGTGCGTGATAGCTTCATCAATATAGCCTGTCATTTTTGTTTTATGACTCCCACTTTCTTAGATAATTTTTTCTTGTAATAACTAGTCATTCTTTGAAATTTTATGATTTTTCAGATCTCCATGAATAAATTCAAAACATGGCTGCGGTATAATCTTCTTCTAATCCTAACTATTTTGGGCGTCATCGGTGGTGTGCTTGGTGGCGGATTACTGAGGTAATCAATCAGCAGCATTTAGTTTTTCTTCATAGTAGACAACTTCAGATTTCTGGAACCGTCGGCCGATGTCGTGAAGTACATTGGTTTTCCTGGAGAGCTGTTCATGAATATGCTGAAAGCAATGATTTTGCCGCTTATTATTGCTAGTTTGATATCAGGTCCATTGCTAATTACTAGAGTGATTTTGAAGGCATAATTTGGTTTGACGAGCTTGGATAACCCAGAGAAGACAACAGAGCTCCCATTTAGATACCAGTAGACAATGAGCAACCCCACAAATTTAATAGCTCAAAAATGTATATAAACCTATTTCATGCGCTAAATAACTTAGAATTGTGAAAACACATATTATCTAAAACCCTCACTCATGTGAACTCTGAACTGCAAGATGTTCATAAATCGCTCAACAGGTACGAAAGCAAAGCACATCTTTCAAAAGCCAAATAAAAACTCCAGTCATTTATGGAAGGATGTAACTTTGGATAGATGTAAAAATCCAAAATTGGACAGTTTGAACTTCATTTTCTGGAACATAAGAACATTGACAGTGCGATATTTTTTCCATAAGAGCTGCTTTTGCTGATAGGCAATAATAGTATAGTATGCTTTTGCCACATTTGGTGTGACTCACCCTTCTCAATCAGACGGGAAATTTTTCCATTAAAAAAGTGTTATGCTTTAAAAGAAGCGTTTTGAAGAAGCTATCATATAT